AACATTTGTTAATCAATAAATTTAATACTCTAATCTAAAGAAATTACCTAAAATAAATTCCTTTGTTAAAGGTAAAGTGACATAATAAATGTCTTATATTATTATCTGTGTAGGAGTAGGACTTCGGTATATCATATTGCAGGCCCGTTTAATGGCATTTTAAATCCTGTTGACGTCATGCATGCTGATGCAATATCGGCTGTTTTTATATCATGCATTCTGTTTTGAATAAACAACAAGCCCACTAACCCAATCAATGACCCTCACACTCGACATAACAATTGACAACCTTGTGGTGATACATGTGGCGTAGTCAATGCATGCACAGTCCAACACGCTGTCAATGCATGAACACTACACAATTATGACTGTTTTACCGGCGACCGGTGGCTCAGAAAGTAAAGCGCTGACTCACTATAAGGCGGTTTCCATACCAATATTGGCGGTCTGGCATAGAAGAGCGTCTAGTCATTCGGATAGGATGGAAAAACTAGGCCCGTCTACACTTTGCACGTAAAAGAACCCTTGTTGACAGTTGGAACTGCATGATGCTCGTCTTGGTTAATTCATTGTATTATTACGTTAGAGGTGGGGGGGGGGGGCAAGATTTCAAGGGGGGAAACCTGGTCTGATATCAAGTCCTGTTTGTAAGATAAGAATATGAGTTTTATTTTAAATCGCATTACGTAATGACGTCATCAAGGTATTGAATAGGGCTTGTAGTGGGAGAACTGACAAATAATGTATGGCTTCCATTTACAAACTTACACCTTATTGCATACACAATCAGCTTTGAATTGAAAAGCATAGTTGTTTTCGTTTTGCGCCTAATTGAAACGGACCCGTTTTCCTCTTCTACGTGTCCGATACTAAAACGAACACGTGCCGGAATCTGGAGTTGGTCCAGTAAGCGACAACAATCGAGCTATAATTTGTATCTAATTGATGAATGGGCACAATATACGCCGAATTATTTATTATGTAGAATAACCCACACAACTTAGGGAGAGGCTACTAAATTATGACAAGGGAAGAAGTGAACAGATTTTCTTGGAAGCGTTCATGCATAGAATTTGTAGATAGAAATAAAGTACATGGTGACTTAAAGGTCAATGCACTGCTACAAGATAAAAGAATTTTAAATTAGAAAAAAAAACCCACACACCTTAATTCATAAGGCAAGGCGCAAGTCGAGAAGAACCTTTAAAGATACATTATGTAAGATTTAGATAAAGACCTAGACATTCTTGCTATAATAGTTCAAATATATATTATGCAAAATGAATAATTTGAAAATTTCATTCAAATTACTCTATTGCGAGCGAAGATGTTAGCCTTTTAAAGGTTTGACAAGACGTGTGCAAGTCTCGCTCCTCCATTTTTAGATTAAATCAAAATATGGCTGAACCGCTCTAATCTATTTTATATCGGAGAAATCCGATGCCATCGAGGGATGATTATGGCCTGGATCAGTTAATTAAAATCTAATTAATAATTTAGAAAACATTTCAAGCCTAAAGAAAGACCTGCAATAGGCAGATTTAGCTCTTGCATAATGTATGTGTAAGTAATTTGAAGACATTTTCAATGTATTCATTTTTGATTATCTATTTTCGAACTATTATGACAAAAACGACCAGCTCTTAATTTATCTAAATCTAACATAATGCATCTTTAACTATGCAATCTGCATAGTGCAAACACAAGATCCGGATCATTTATTTTCCCTTTCAACCAGTCTACGTATGACAGTTGACTCTGTAAACAAATTCGACGCTATTTTGTCCAGGATGGCCATATTCGTTGTATAGTGGGTCAAGTCTACAAGTTAAGGTCCATTGCAGATTTCGTCATAGGCCGCGAGATGTTAATAGAGTGGACACGTTGACGAGATTGTTGGTTAGGGTAAGCGCTAGCCCTATTTACATCTCGTGACCAATGACCAAATCTGCAGCGGGCCTGCGGGCTGTAGTCGCATGCTTTACTGTGCCGAGGGTCTGACTCTCAGTTATATTCATACTGATCATTCCCTGTCGCATTATCTAACTTGTTTGCATTGAATACCCCTTTCAGACGCACTTATTTATGGTATAATATCGCCGAGGATTTTAAACCTGCAGTATAGGGTTGCGTTCACACGTACTAATGCAGTGTAAACCCAATCTATAGTTTAACTATTTTCGAAACTGTAAGCAGACCGTAGCTCACCGCGGTTTTGACCAAAACGATTAATTGACGGGAATATATTACTTTTAAGGGCTTCCAAGGGCTCTTTTTACGTCATAATTTATAAGTACATTTTAAAGATGCTTAACGGCTAATGTAGGTTACTTGATTTTAACGATGATGACACTGATAACGGTGAATATGATACTCAATTAAGGCCGAGATTTTTACCTGACAAGTTCTCCAATATTTATTATCAACAATATGGGGTAATGTTTCTTCTTGTTAAGGAAATTTCATCTTTCGGGCGAAATGCCTCGAGATATAGAACTTTTCTTTTTGATCAGAAACCAGCCCGCCGAGAAGATAGTCCTGCTTGTCAATAAAACGATAAAATTAAGTGGGCTGATGGTGGTTAGCACAGTGATGCAGTCTGACGTAGCCTTTATCTATTCATATATTGCCATTCTCATAACTGTTGTCTACGGCAGTCGGTGCACGCTGGCTCATAACACATAAATAATGTTTATGGAAGGTTACCCGTTGCACGCACTGTATAACGTTACCGCAGGGGTACATTAAAATACACATTAATTTGCTGGGTCTTGCATTGGCATACATAAATAATGAAGCAAACTGGTCTCTCAATTTACGAAAATGACTTAGCCTAGTATGCGCGCCACATTCCAATAATGGGTAACCAATATATCTCGAGTTTCGTCAGATAGATTCATATAAGTCACTAAATCGTGTATTTATTGATCAAGTACTGGTCGCTAACCGCTGCTCATCTTGTTTGTTGGTCTTCTTGTTCTTTGGGTCACACTCTTCGAAAACGCCAAGGCTACGTCATAAAAATTGGCAATCTTGTTCTTTGAACAATTCTGCATTGATTTGGTTCCTGGCCTATAGTACGATCGTTTAATGTGGGCTGTGGCCTAAAAGACTGCCACGATATTTTTGATTTTATCAAAAGATACATTATGGGAGATTAGTAAAAGAGCTGGCAGTTCTCACTATAAGTATAATAGTTATAAACTAGATAATGGAAAGGGAATTTGCTGAAAACGGTCCATTCGGAACCGAGAATTTAGCGATTAAATTTTCGGCCTAGCCTTGATCATCATTACTTAAGTCGGGTACGATAATAAACAAGTTCCAGTTCAAACGTCATTATCTCAGCGGATTAGTCGCCAATTACTCGTGACAAAAGGTGACAACTGAAAACCACCTTATCCCATCTGATCTGATCTTTGCATATAGGTGACAATTGGTCCCATTACATAGATATGTAACTACCTGAGAACCTCCAATTAACAAAATTGATGTAACAATTGATCAATTACCAAGCGCGGTATTTAACAAATTTAAAGGGATTTTACATGTACGAACCAGTTCACACTAAAATAAGGATTATACGCCCTTGTGTTAATAAGCCAGTTCATTTGAACGCCTTAAAAGAATTCAAATTAATAGTTTCTTATGAACCAATCCTTGCTTTCTTGTTAATTAACGCTTTATGATTTATAATTAAAAACATTGTAGTTAAAACATGCTTCTGTTGAAAACGAATTACAGAATATATTACATATGCACGACAATTAACGTGCACTTTTTTCGATGTTGTATAAAAATGTACCGGGGAACCTAAGATTAACATGATCAATTAATTATGATATTTAAAAATCATTGAAATTTGATCTTTGTAAAGTTCTGCATTCCTGTGTGAGATAATTCCGTTCGCTATTAGACTGAATTCAGTAAATGGTTCAAAGGATCTCCGCGGATATTTGTGATATACCCTCTCTTTGTTAAAAGCCTAATTTTCATGTGATAATTATACGCACTTATTGCATCGTTTATTATCCAATAACGTGGATGAAAATACCAATCATATGACTATTATACGATTAGTATGACTAATAATTACTACCAAATGAATTGTTTGCAGATAGCGATTGCGTAGGTGCACCACACTTCGTTGAATCATAGGGTTATCTCTCTCGAGTATTCCATGGCTCCGTTGCGTGTCGACTAATATCTCGACGTTTTTATCCACGTTCACTCATAGCAACAATATATACGAGCTATGGTTTAATCGTTTCGCGGAACGGTTTAGTAATTACGGAAGAGGAGTTTATTTCCTGCTCCTTAATTCAAGAGAGAAAAATAATATCATTCCTTTCACGTGATGGACACGATACTGTCACGTGTCTTTGCTATTATATCGGTCAATAAACAGCTGATCGGGTAAACACAGCAGATTCCGGTGCCCTAGAAATCGCCTCGATTATCCAGACACTATTTTACTTGACTTCCCGAGACGACCCCACCCCCCCAAAAGTAAATAATACTATGATCAACAATCTGTACTCTTAAAATAAAGAAAACAGGATTCTAGCTCATATTCGTATAGGAAAGTAAAATCATTCAAATCCAACAGAAAAACTTGGTTTTTTTTCATTTTTGATGGATAGTGCATGTTGCGAAGTGCCCTGCACTTCTTCTACTTCTAGCTACGAGAACGTAGCTAAAACCCCTCTGTGATTATGATATGTTAAATGGTGTTTAAAAATCTCGCAATATTATTTAGCTAATTCTGTAAATAATCCATGCGCCATTGTCAGAAAACAGATGACTCAAATAGGAAGAACCCCCATTGGCATCGCGAGTACTGTCTAAAAAAGTTATATAACCATAGTCTTGATTAACCAGTCAGAACTATCAGCAAATCGGTCAATAATAGATGTTGATGAACCCAGTTGGCAGTTGCTATAGTATACGAAGGCTGCTGTTTACAAAACTAGATTCTCCCAGTTCACTGGCTGACTTCTATAAACGAGGCTTGGGTGAATCACAAGGCAATCATATTAGGTTTTTATCTCGACAACCGAGATATATAAAGCCTGGAGACTTGGGTGTCACACGCAGAATTTTCAAAATATCGGAGATAACTAGACGTACATGTATACTGTATGCAGAATATAGAGAGCATACCTGAAATACTAACAAGTTGCATTCAGTATAACAGAAAAATTCTTATATTGCATTAATTTAATACGACAGGTAGTTATCCTTTTTTTTTTTTTTTTTTTTTTTTTTTTTTTTTGCATATATAGGCCTATTAATCAAAATGATTATTTTTAATGATAAACAAGGTTTTTCAAATATTTCTTTTTCTTTCTATTTTCAGAAAATGGCAAACTCCGCAACAAACAAGACAGTTTTAAGTAAATATTTAGAGCTAGATCAGCCAAATGGAAAAGTTATGGCCGAATATTTATGGATAGACGGATCTGGTGAAGGAATCCGAAGTAAATGTAGAACATTAGATTTTACTCCGAAACATCCAAAAGGTAGGTAGAGCTATTACCGTGCGTCATTTTCTACTTGTATGTCACAGCTGGGTCCAATGTGTAATGGTACTGTCTGATTGTATCTCGATTCCCTGGTCGTACGTAACAAGGAGTAGGGTCGCCTGTCCAACCTCGTGGGTTTTCTCCAGGTCCTCCAGTTTCCTCCCACTGCTAAAGACCTCTATTTGCAAGCGAATTATTGAAATAAAACTGAACCATATGCTAGTCCAGAAATGACCTAATTTTAACATGTTATTTTGTTGGTAAAGGTAAGGATGGTGGGGGGGGTATATTTGGGTCCAGAAATATGCAACAAGTTGACAACCCTGATTTGTCAAACTTTCATCTGAGAAGATCAGAAGGATCCCAGTGCCCCAACCAAATGTCCTGTGTACGACACTTTCTAGTTGTACTGTCCTAGTTTTATCCTTGTGTCTGTTTTCTTGTGTGTTTATTTGCCAATCAGAAGGTCATTATATAATATATAAGTTGGCTTAAAAAAAAAACAAATTTTTAAAAGCCAAGAGACCTACTACATGGGAAACTATAATTAAAGTGTCATCTTCTATGGTCAGGTTTCTTCCATTATGCACGCGTACATACTACTTTAAGTGTCGGGGGGGGGGGGGGGGGATGGCCAAATGGTCAGCGTGTGCGCTGTATCATAAGGTCTGTCATTGGGTCAACTGGCGTGGTTTCCATTCCCTGGTTGTACGTGACCAGAAGTAGGGTTTCCTCCCACTGTTAAAGAACCCTGTATGCAAGCAAATTATTGAAATAAAATCGAACCATATGTTAGTCCCAAATTGACCTAGTTTGTGTCGAGCATGGGTTCCACGTCGGCCGTATATGCCGGTCGAGACCTGCGGCTATGGCAAATGTGGTTCCTAGATCTGACCTAACGGTCATTTTGCTTGCAAAACCCAATTTTCAAACATGGCTACGATCGACCTCCACTATGTAACTATACAAGAATGCACACGTATAGAAGCAAATCTCGTGGGGTTTTTCCTGGTCCTCCGGTTTCCTCCCACTGCTAAAGACCCCTATGCGCAAGTGAATTATTGAAATAAAATTCAACCATATGTTAGTCCCAAATTGACCTAGTTTGTGTCGAGTGAACGTTAAACCCCATTTCTCTCTCTCCCCCTACTTCAAACTGCAATGTTCAACAAAAAGTAATGGGCATGCCCTAAAATTGCTGGAGTCTTTCAGATGATAGAGATGAGCTTTCTTGAAGAAATGTTTATTTGCCTCACTTTTGTGTTCAGAAAAAACAAAGTTAAGCTGTGAGTGTACATGTACCAAACATGTTTGGTTTAACACTTGACTTTACTTGCATAAATGGCATGCTATCTGGTACGATAATTATTTTGTTGGTGTTGAACAACTTGTATAAAAGGAAAAATATCTCCTGTTTTGAAAGATAAAGAAAAAACGTTTGTTGAACAAGCAACTGATAGGTTTATCAAGATGTATCAGTACATTATTTTCTGTCATTTTTATGTAAATCACTTTCACATGAAAGAAATGTTCGTGATTTTGCAAAAAGGTTTCAATCACTTGTGTTCATAATAATTCATGCATGTCAAGATGTACCATTACATTATTTTTACTGTTTTTTTTTTACATATGAATCTCTGTCACATATGAAAGAAATGTTTTTGATATTTGCGCAAAGGTTTTCAATCAAAGGTGTTTACAAATAATTCATGCATGTCAAATAATCTCAAGGCTATTACACAAACTACTAAAATATACATCAAATTCCAATACATGCCAAGCAGCTGACTTGCTAATTGTGTAACTATGTAAGACTGTAATATTGGACAAACTCCAGACAGTCAGCTTTTTAAACATACATTATGCAAGAGCTCAATCTGCCTATTGCCGCAGGTATTTCTTTAGGCCTACAATGTGATTTAAACTATTAATTAGACATTAATGAACTTATCCAAACCATAATCAACTCTCGATGTCATCTTATGTGGGATCTGGAAGAGTTTTATATTAACCACATCTCTTGGGTTTTCTCCAGGTCCTCCAGTTTCCTCCCACTGCTAAAGACCCCTACGCACAAGCGAATTATTGAAATAAAATTGAACCATATATTAGTCCCAAAATGACGTAGTTTGTGTTGAGTGGAGCTTAAACCCCATTCCTGTCTATTATAGCAGACACATTACAAAAAAATACATTCCTACATAGATACAGCAAGAGTGATAGAAAACAAATGGAAGTTGATTGATCACCAGATCTAAGTGGCTATTTATATATCAAGAGGGAGGTTGGATGGCTGAATGGTTAGCGGGTGCGCGCTGTATCATAAAGTCTGTCATTGAGTTGACTGGTGTGGTTTCGAATCTCCGGTTGAACGTGACAAGGAGTAGGGTCGCCTGTCCAACCTCGTGGGTTTTCTCCTGGTCCTCCGGTTTCCTCCCACTGCTAAAGACCCCTATGGGCAAGTGAATTATTGAAATAAAATTAAACCATATGTTAGTCCCGAAATGACCTAGTTTGTGTCGAGTGGACTTAAACCCCATTTCTCTCTCTATATATATATATATATATCAAGATCCTGAAGATGCAATAAAAAATCAAAATGAAAACTTTAACGAAAGTTTTAAAGTTGATTGAGTTCTTATTTGTTGAAGACATGTTGACAGTCAATGTGACCTTGGCTAACCCATGTTAAACATCACACAAGTCTGTGTTTTTTACATTGAATTTAACCATTTTAAACAGTTACATGATGGGTCATATTAACCTTGTCGGCACTAAATAAACTTTACTGAAAAGTCGATTTAGCTGGCAAGACAAATCGGATTGTCTTAATCCTGAAATGGCTGCTTCATAGAAATCATACCTCCCTGTAACCTGTGCTAATAACATCAATGTCAAGATAATCACGAAATACATGCATGTCTTTCTTTGACAGCATTAAACAACCTAAACCCAATGATCATTTATATTTTTTGGACATTATCCATGCTAATATTTTCTGAATTTGATTATTCAACAATTTAATTAAGAAAATAATATTAAACCAAAATATTATTGGTAGATAATCTCTGTGCTTGAATTAGGGGAGTATTCAGGGATTTTGTAAAGTGGTCATATTTTAATGTTGTCTCATCAATCTTATTAAAATACAGATCTATATTTCGTTTCATTTTTTTTATACTTTCGATGGCCTACACTACATGAAGATCTGACCGGTTGTACAGGGAGGTTGCGTCAGGGGTCACACGAGTGGCTTTTGTCCCTATGACATCAGACTTTTGATTAACAAATCAGCATTGACGTTTCTAGTGGTGCACCCACAGTTCCGAGCATCGCACGGCAAGAACTCTAGTAACAGACTGTTTCATTGGCTAATCCGTCACTTCCACCAGAAAGCCGGTAATATAACAACTCTTACAGATCCTAGTGAAGTAGAGACAACTGAAACGAAATTTTGAACTATAAAAAAAACGAAACGAAATAGGATCTGTGTTTTAATCAGATTGGTTGTCTCTTGTCATCAATTCCTAGTGATAGGAAGGGACTCATAGAAGTCTTGAATTTAATAATTACTTTGAGTATTATTGCCCTTGATCCATATAAAACCTTGTGAAAGATACATGTACCAGTGGCATAATTAATCATATGTGTACAAGATGATCTATTTATATTAGAGAAGAGAAACTGAACTCCCCAAGCTATATCTTTAAGGCTTGCTGATGTATTAAACTTTAATAAGTAAAGATACATGAGATAAAGAGCTGGCAGTTCTCACTATAATAGTTAAAAACTAAATAATGTATAGGGAATTTGCTGAAAATTTCAGTCAAATTGATCCACTCTGAACAGAGAATTTAGCGATTGAATTTAAGTCGTAGCCTCTATCATCATTACTAAAGTCAGTACGATAAAAAACAGCCACAATTATCCATATTTTTATTTAATCATCATTGAGCATTGAGCAACAGATCTGATTCCAATCCATTAAATATCGCAGGCTAGTGATGACACCGAGAGTTGATTATGGTCTGGATAAGTTAATTAATGTCTAATTAATAATTTAGATAACATTTCAGGCCTAAGGAAAGAACTGCAATAGGCAGATTTAGCTCTTGTATATGTGTGTTTAATATAATTGCTTTTATGTTATCTATTTTATTTTTTGTTAATTAATATTTTGAAACTATATTTTCAGAATGTCCCATATGGAATTTTGATGGTTCGAGTACAGCACAGGCTGAAGGTTCCAACTCTGACATGTATTTACATCCCTGCGCTATCTTCAACGATCCATTCAGAAAAGGCAACAATAGATTAGTTTTATGTGAGGTCTTTAAATATAATAAAAAACCTGCAGGTATGTTGGTTACTCGGCTTTTGTTGTTTTAATGTATCAAATACATCAACAAGAAACTATGTGCAAAATTTTGTGTTTTTCAATCAAAGATATTTCTCATAAACAGTGATTGAAAGTTAAGTAAATTCTTAACTTAAAGTAGCTAAGTCTCTAACTCATTATCATCCAAAATCTTCGATATTAAAAACACAAATTATTTATCAATTTAAATCAAGATTGATGTTGAGATCTTACCGGGAAAAGATGGGTTTCTGATATCCAATATTTAAGACAAAATAAACATTTTACAATTGTTACACGAATCGTGTACCATAATGCGTTTCAGTGCCATTTGTAATAAGGGACTCGAAAAACGAGGCTAGGCATATTCCACAAGTCATGTCAAACGGTGACGCCATAGTCTTATCTGGAGAACATGCGCAATAAATACTAACGGCGTAGACTGGAATAACCAGACGCTAGAAATTGCCATTCGATTGAGACTTCTGGCGTACTTCGCCGAACAAAACTGATTAGAAATTATAGTAAAAACAGAAACGATTGAATGTAAATCAATTTATATACATTCAGATTACATTATTATATGCGTGGCGACCTATTTGTGTTAATTTCTAGGTCCCAAATATTAGCGATTTAGCCCCTTTAACTCTGAGAATGCGATGTTAAACTGGGAGTTTGTATATATTGTATATAGGACATTGCATGGGTGTGTGTCTATCTTCATTAGTCTTGCTGGTGCAAAAAGGTGGGACATTAAACCCTATTCCATGCTTTCTGTATATTTAAATTTCTGTATTTTTTGTGTATTTTAGAGACAAACAAACGTAATACTTGTAACGCTGTAATGGAGAAAGCGAAAGATGAGAAACCCTGGTTTGGTATTGAACAAGAATATACCATATTAGACAATGATGGACATCCTTTTGGTTGGCCTAAAAATGGTTTCCCTGGACCACAAGGTAAGTCAATTAATTGCCCACAACTTTGGAAATAGTCAACAATATTGGAATCTACAGAATACAAGGAAACGCAGCTGTTTACAAAATTTTCCTCATAGAACACTGCTTGGTGTATGTCGGTCTTCATTAGGTAGATTGGTGCAGAAATTAGGAAGTTTAAGAAACCACATTTCATTTAACTATCACAAGACAGAAAAGTAAAACAGAGAGAGAAATGGGGTTTAACGTCCACTCGACACGTACTAGGTCATTTCGGGACTAACATATGGTTCAATTTTATTTCAACAATTTGCTTGCGCGTAGGGGTCTTTTTTTTACTTTGGGAGGAATTTGGAGGACCCGGAAAAAACCCATGAGGTTGGACAGGTGAACCTACTCCTTGTCACATACAACCAGGGAATCGAAACCAAGCCAGTTAACTCAATGACAGACCTTTTGATACAGCGTGCAGATGCTAAATAATCCAAATTAGTCTCAGGGATTAATTTATTTGGATTATTTAACAAAATATTAGATGGGGTGTCAAATTTCGAATGATTCGACTGGACAATGTAACATTTTAACTGCTGCAGTTACCACCATGATAACATAATAACTGCTGCAGTTACCACCATGATAACATAATAACTGCTGCAGTTACCACCATGATAACATAATAACTGCTGCAGTTACCACCATGATAACATAATAACCGGTGCAGTTGCCACCATGATAACATAATAACTGCTGCAGTTACCACCATGATAACATAATAACTGCTGCAGTTACCACCATGATAACATAATAACTGCTGCAGTTACCACCATGATAACATAATAACTGCTGCAGTTACCACCATGATAACATGATAACTCATAGTTGATGATGTAATCGTGTTACAAATGGTGGATGTTTATCTAAATTTAGGTTGTTTGATCTTTGGATGAATAAAGATTTTATTTCTACAAGTAATTTATATGGTATTATTATTTTAGGACCTTATTATTGTGGTGTTGGGGCTAATCGTGTTTATGGTAGAGATATTGTAGAAGCTCATTATAAAGCTTGTTTATACGCTGGTGTAGATATCTGTGGTTGTAATGCTGAAGTCATGCCTGCTCAGGTGAATTATTTATTTACATTAATACTTTTATAAACCTCAGTTCACCTCGATAGGCTGATAAATTTTCAATGATTTTGTTAATATATAGTTTTGTCAAGCACAGACACTCAATATTGATACATTCCGACCCCGGTTTCACAAAGACCTGATCCCGGTTTCACAAAGCATAAGAATTTACTCAAACTTTCAATCACTCTTTATGAAAAATATCTTTGATGCAGAAACACAAAAATTTGCACATAGTTTCTTATTGATGTATTTGATACATTAATATAACAGAAGTTTCATAAAGGGCTATATTTTAGTTAAAATAAGGCGAACAATTTTGAGTACATTCTTAACTGAAGTCTGAGAATGTTTTGTGAAACCAGCCAGGGTCAGAATTATGATAACCATCATGAGAAAAATAAAAATCTACCATCTAATGTCTTACAAGAGAGAGAGAGAGAGAGAGCGAGAGAGAAATGGGATTTAATGTCCACTCGACACAAATTAGGTCATTTCGGGTCTAACATATGGTTCAATTTTATTTAAATAATTCGCTTGCGCATAGGGATCTTTAGCAGTGGGAGGAAAACGGAGGACCCCGCGAAAACCCACGAGGTTGGACAGGCCACTCTTCTCCTTGTCACATGTAACCAAGGAATCGAAACCTCACCAGTTGACTCAATGACAGACCTTATGATACAGCGCGAATGTGCTAACCATTCAGCCATCCAACCCCCTAATGTCTTACAGGCCTAGAATTGACAGATTTAGTTGGAACTATGCTGGACATATATAGTTAACATCACAGATCAATATCAATAAGAACACAGAAAAAAACACAAATGACGTGCCCAAAAATGTCAATGGACCGGCCCTTATTTCCAGATGGGGTCATAAATGCATGATTTTGTTAATACATGTAACTTAGAGACAGTCGCCAAAATTTCGAAACAAAACATAAAATTTAAAATTTTGTTTTTTTTTCAGTGGGAATTTCAAGTTGGTCCATCTGAAGGTATCAATATGGGAGATCATCTATGGGTAGCTCGATACATCTTACACAGGGTAGCAGAAGATTTTGGTGTTGTTGTGACCCTTGATCCCAAACCTATGCAAGGAGACTGGAACGGAGCTGGTGCCCACACTAATTACAGTACCAAATCTATGAGAGAACCAAATGGCTTGGCGTAAGTAAATTGAATATACTCGGACATGCGTTCAGTGATATTACAAGTATCTTTATAGCCCATATCGGACAATAACTTCATGGATTATGGCCCCTGATTGTACAAAAATTTGCATTATTTTTTTTAGCTCGTTCTGTCCATCTCTTGCAAAATGTGTGTATATCTTGCATGGCAACCGCTTGTTTTTCTCTACATTTGCACTGAATTAAACTTTTTGTTTTTGCAATTTTTAGAGTTATTGAAGAAGCCATTGAAAAGTTATCATACCAGCATGTCAGACACATCAAAGCTTACGATCCCAACGAAGGAAAAGACAATGAAAGACGGTTAACTGGCCTTCATGAAACATCATCTATCCACGATTTCTCAGCAGGAGTAGCCAATCGTGGAGCTAGTATCAGAATTCCCCGACAGGTAGCAGAAGATGGTTATGGTTACCTTGAAGACAGACGTCCATCTTCTAACTGCGATCCGTATGCTGTTACAGAAGTCATCGTCAGGACAACAGTTTTGAACGAATAAAAGAAACAATTATTAGTTGAAAAAAACAAAAAAAAACAATGACAAACTGTCCTTTGAAGCAGAGATGCAAATACTTAAAGTATGCAATTTTAATGCGAAATTTTTATAAAAATTTATCCATTTCATGAGGCATGTATATATAATGTATAGAATCTCAACGGAATTCATGAGCCAAACTTTCTTATTGGCAGCTCAATTACTGGTTTAATATGTCAGTCCCAAAATAACCCGAGATGTTACCTCATTTATCAAGTCTGTTGTTGAATTAATAGGCCAAATACTCTGATTTGCAGCTGAATTAATGGTTTAACATGTCAGTCCCAAAATAACCCAATGGAGTGGACATGTTACCTCATCTGTTGAATTAATAAGCCAAACATTCTGATTGGCAGCTGAATTACTGGTTTAACATATGTCAGTCCCAAAATAACCTGACTGAGTTGACTTGTTATCATCACATCTGAATCGCAAAGTTCGATGAATCAAAACAACAATGAGGTCATGTCTTATTCATTTAGGCCAAACAAAGAAATTTCTATGTTTATGGTGACCTGACGGAACCTATCGTTTTGTCCACATCCGAGGCCCTATTTATCGATCAGTCTTGGAATGGTTTTCTGAAAAGATTAGGAAATAAATAAGACACTTTTCCGTTCTTAAAACGCCATGACAAATTGTCAGGAATGAAGGAATCCATGACATTGTCAGAAGAACGTGATGTGTATGACACAAGTCATATTCTATTTAACCACGTAACTGTAAACAGTGCTATTTTTTTTAGGGGCCTTATAATATGCAGTGATTGTACGGGTATCAATACACGCTGTAATATATTCTAATTTCATTCTAACACAACTAAGAATGTTTTAATCATATTCATCATGATCATTACTGAGACTTCCGTCATATTGGTGGAAGTTGTCAGATCGAAATAATTTTATGACCTTTTTGTTGTCCTTTTGTTCAAATTGTATTTGTTAATGTTTTAATTTATGAATAGTTATAAGGGTCATTCACAAGGCAGAATATTCCTGGTTCATAGTAGGGTCATATTTATTCTGATAGCAGATGATATCCTGGGGTAAAATAAATAACAATTTTGTATTTAGAACACAACTACATTGTAATTGTCAGGTTTTTCATTGACTTAAATTCGTTTATCCTGAATTAAAATTACATTTATTTCTGGGTTTTACCCAAAAATGTTTCCATAAAACTGTATTCCTTTGGAGTTGATAAAACTACTACACAAAAGAATCCAGCTTTATTAAGGAAATAATACTCCTCGTAACTTTTAGAAAATATTGTATAAAATGGATGAATGAAAATAGGAATGAGTAAGTTGATGAATGGATGAGTGATCAAGAAAATGAATGAATGAATGAATGTGTAAAAGAATGAATGAATGAGAGAGAACAAATGCTGTATTTTGTGATATAAAGCTTTTAAATGGGAATTACCCATTACATTATTGATATTTGTATTTCTAATTAAGAATTATATATATATATTGGTAAATGGTATTTTCCCATATTTAATCTCTAGATTTTAATATATCAATAAAATGTTTATAGAGAACTGATCAAATTGTTTGAGTTTCAGTATTGTATGTTGTCCAAACTGGGAAATCACTGTGGCACTATGCTGGAACTTGGGCTGGGGTGTGGGAATACTGGGAACTCATTGTTACTGGGGCTGGCATGTGTCCATACTGAGAACTCAGTGTTACTGGGGATGAGATGTGTCCATACTGGAACTCTCTATGGCACATTGCTGTAACTGGGGCTGGGGTGTGGCAATACTGGGAACTCTTTATGGCACATTGCTGTAACTGGGGCTGGGATGTGGCAATACTGGGAACTCTTTATGGCACATTGCTGTAACTGGAGCTGGGATGTGGCAATACTGGGAACTAATGGTACATTGCTGTAACTGCTGATATGTCCATATGTCCATACTGTAACTGGGGCTGGGATGTGGCAATACTGGGAATCTTTATGGCACATTGCTGTAACTGGAGCTGGGATGTGGCAATACTGGGAACTAATGGTACATTGCTGTAACTGCTGATATGTCCAGTTCTGGGAACTCAGTGTAACTGGGGCTGGTGGGGTGTGTTCATATTTTGGAACATGTGGAGCTGGGGTGTCTCCATACTGGGAACTCTCTATGGCACATTGCTGTAACTTGGGCTGGGTGTGTCCATACTGGGAAGTCGGTGTAACTGGGGCTGGGGGTGCCCCTACCGGAAAATTTATGTTGTAAATGGGATGCGTCCCATACTTGGAATTTTCTGTAACTGGAGCTTGGGTGTTTTGTGTGATTCAACTTGTAGATGTGCTTCTTCCTACAATAACTTTGATAATTAATAACAACCTTCAATTGGGCGTCTTTCCCGAAATTTTTAAACATGCATTGGTTAAACCACTACTTAAGAAGCCTTCGATGGATAAGGAAATATTCAAAAACTATCGTCCTGTATCCAATTTACCATCGATTTCAAAGATATTGGAAAAAAACTGCAAACATTCGGTTGAGCGATCATTTGAGTCGGCACTCACTCTTAGATCAGTATCAGTCGCTCACAGACAAGGCCATTCAACCGAGACAGCTCTTCTCAAGGTCGTGGATGATATCAGACATTATACTGTCGACAGAGGTAACTGCCGTTCCTTAGTAATGTTGGATCTTTCAGCAAGCTTTCGACACGATCGATCCATTGGTGCTCCTAAAAGAAACTTCACGTAGAGTTTGGCATTACAGATGGTGTCCTGGCATGGTTTGAATCTTACCTTCTCGGTCGTAGTCAATCGGTACAGATTACAAACACCTACTCAGATTCTGTTAATCTTTCGAACAGAGTTCCCTAAGGTTCTGTTCGGGGACCAGTGCTATGTGTACTTTACACAGTCAGTGTCGCCAATATACTTAAATTGCACCAGCTTATATATATAATGTACCACTCTTATGCTGATGATACACAAATTGTTGACAGCTGGAATTCTACAGATCATCAGGATCCATTTAATAGAATCACATAATGTACAAAAGATATCAAATCATGGATGACAAATAATATGCTCAAACTCAATGATGATAAAACAGAGGTCATGGTTATTGGTACCAAACAACAGCTTTCTAATAAGTCAGCATCTACCATCCACATCGCTGACTCTAAAATAAATATTGTTAACTCGGTTAAGGATCTTGGTGTCCATCTTGATTCTGAGCTTAGTATGGAGAACCATGTCAATCAGTTGTGTAAAGTCTGCTACTTTCATCTCCGGTATATCCGACAAATTCGACATCTTATTATGAAGGATGCAGCGCATATACTTTGGTCCATATTCCTGAAGCAATGGTCCGAGAAACCCCTCTCTGCCCATTGCTGGATTGGCTTCTGATACTTGAGCTTTTGAGGAAGTGTGTTTTCTTTCCGTTCAATCAAATCTATCCCAAGTACAACAACATGACAGCCCTTCTTTTAATATGGGGTCTTCCCTAAAATTTTAGACAGTGATTTAAGGTATTAAAAACGGTGAAAGTATTCTGCGTCTCAATACGGTATTGTTTACATTTTTGATAGCCTCGTTTAACGTCCACTCGACACAAACTAGGTCATTTCGGGTCAATAATTCGCTTGCGCGTAGGGGTCTTTAGCAGTGGGAGGAAACCGGAGGACCCAGAGAAAACCCACTCGAGCTTGAACAGGTGACCCTACTCCTTGCCATCTACTATACTAGCACCATTCGGTCATCCACCCCCACCCCACAACCCACAAACAGTCAGGACAATATTTAAAAACTTCGTGACAAAAACGAAGTCGAGGAACTAGGCCTGAATAGTTCAGATCCTGAAGTATACGACGTGTTCTAACGTGACACGTGACAAGGGAGGTTCAAAGTGAATAGAAACAACAAAAATAACACAAAAAACGGCAATAAACAGCATGTTTTGACGTTTTCATCTGCATATATTCATACATCACATTTACTCCGCGAATTTGCTGACAAATTTTGTAAATTATGGGGTCTTCTCTTGTCCGCATTTCAACTGACTCAGACTTTACTCAAGTCAATGAGATTTATAATACTTGTCATACCATAAAGGGCTAGTCAACAATGGAAATCATTCCCACTTGAAAATTCAATGTCTTTAAATAATACTATCTATGGCAAGGGCAATGTTTAGTCGGTCTAAGGGTACAAAAACCCAAGGTCCCGTGTACACGTTGGCGTGCACGGACAAGAACTCTGGACAGTTGGAATTCAATATAAGAGTAGCAAATTTCCCCCATAGCACACTGTTTGGCGTAAGCCCGTCTTCATTTGTTCAGGCGGTGCAGAAAAGTGGTACGCTAAATACCCCATTTCATTTTATTTTACAAGATCATATGAATAACATTACAAAACACGTAATAAATATTAGATGCCCGAGCCAACTGGAGCTTTGGACGAACATTACATTCTATTTACTTACTGTTTTGACCTTTGCCTTAGCGGACCATAAAAGGCTATTGAAATTGACTATTAAGCGAATTTTTAATAAGTGTACCCTTTCATGTTGACTTCATAAATATAAATACATATAGCGGTTACTGACACATGGTGATCTATTTCCACTATGAGTTGAATAATATGCCAGTCTTCTAAAACCAGTTTTTCACACAAAACATTTAAAAAAATCAGTCGATTGACGCAACAGCTGCATTTAGTCTATTAGCAGTTTAACTGTGGTGTTCATCGATTTGTGTGTCAAATGCACCATTTTAACTTTCAAGGTCATCATTAAGCTGTGCATCTATTTGATCGTAGTGTGCAACATTTAACTGCAATATGTAGTACTGCAATATGTGGCATTTAACTGTATTAAGTATACCATTAACTGTAAGGTGCAGCGTTTATCTGCAAGGTTCAGCATTTAACTGCAAGGTTCATTAATTAAGTGCAAGGTGCATCAATTAACGGCGTAAGATGCATCGATTAATTGCACGGTGCGCCAATTAACTTTAAAGTGCATCAGTTAAATGTAAGGTTTATTAAATGTACGTTCTAGCATTTAACCTTACGATTTATCAATTAACTGCAAGGTGAAACATTTAACCACAAGGTGCATCAAATAACTGTAAGGTGAAACATTTAATTTCAAGGTGCATCAATTAACTGCAAGGTGAAACATTTACTGCAAGATGCATCAAATAACTGCAAGGTGAAACATTTAACTGCAAGGTGCATCAATTAACTGCAAGGTGTATCAGATAACTGCAAGGTGAAATATTTACTGCAAGGTGCATCAATTAACTGCAAGGTGCATCAAATAACTGCAAGGTGAAACATTTAACTGCAAGGTGCGTCAGTTAACTGTAAGATTCAGTACTCCCATCTCAACCTCGGCTAAAATACCCCGGGCAGAACCCGATTATTGAAATGAAGATATATAATTTATGCCATGTCAAGTCTCTTCGTCCGATCTCATTATTAACATTTAGAATGTTGTTTTTGTAATGTCACTGATCAAATTATAGCAAGCCAATTAAATATGAACTTTCTTGTGTACAGGTTATATTATTGGGTGAGTTAGTCCTATTGTATGCATATATAATATATTTGTTAGTATTTTCTCTTCTCGGGATTTTCCGGCGCATGTTTCCTTAGTCGCTGGTGTAGGGCGGGGGCCTGACAAGGACGGTGTGAGGATGGGACTAAAACCAACATACATGTTGACGAACCCTTGACCATTGGAATTCAAACTAAGTGTAGGACTTGCCGCAGTTGTCCGGGCAAAATATCCCTCCTAGCACACTGTTTGACGTATGCCCGTCTTCATTAGTCCAGTCGGAGCCGAAAAGAGGGACTTGAAACCCCATTTCCTTTTCATTAGATCTACATTTCTAATACATTCAATATTTGTTATACACATAGACATTTAACAAAATTATCTGTAATTCTCATTTTAATTATTTCTCTTAAAAATGCAATCTGATTAAAATACAGATCTATATTTCGTTTCGTTTCTTTATACTTCCGATGGCCTACACTACATGAAGATTTGACCAGCCGACTGGGAGTTTGCGTCTAGGGCCATACGACCGGCGTTTGACCCTATGACGCCAGACATTGATTAATCAATCAGCGTCTACGTGTCTAGGGGTTTACCCACAGTTCCGTGCAGAGCACACCATCACAGACCGTTTCATTGGCTAATTCCTCACATCAACTAGAACGCCTTTTATATAACAACTCTTCCAGATCCTAGTACTGTGAAGACAAGAAAACAAAATTTTGAACTATAAAAAACGAAACGAAATAGGATCTGTGTTTTAATCCGATTGCTAAAAATGATATTTTCAACTTTTTATATGTATAGCCGATCGAATGTCAACATTTCATCGAAGATTGTGGGACATCGACTTCATCGGATGTCTAGGAATTGCGTACGTTTGTTTCCACAATACTCTTGGATACTATTAAAAGCTACGTGTTTTAATAAAAAAAACAAATATCTTCAGAACCTAGAACTATAACTTTGTAACCTTAAAGTAGCTAAGTCCGTAACTCAATATCATCCAAAATCTTCGA